ATGAATTACAGTAGATGGGGTAGAGAGAGAAGATGGGAGGGGAGGGAAGGGGAGGGGAGAGGGGGGATAGTAGAGGATAGGAAGGGCAGCAGAATACAACAGACACTAGTATGGCAGTATGTAAAAAAGTGGATGTGGAACTGATGTGAATCTGCAATATGTATACGGGGTAAAAATGGGAATTCATAATGTGCTTGAATCAAATGTATGAAATATGATATGTCAAGAGCTTTGTAATGTTTTGAACAACTACTAATAAAAAAAAGAAAAATAAATAAATAAGTTTTCCAGGATGTGACTTCCTATGATTATCAGAATGATTAAACATATACACTAATCAAACACTACACTAGACTAGATTGGGGCCAACATTTTATTTGTTTGTGATCATAATGCTAAAACTCATACACTCTCTAGTTTGTTATATATTGTGATTTTTTTAAAAAGCTAAAGAAGAAATAAATTCAATTAACCTTTTTAGCATGGTTCTCCTAAATATAACATTTCTAATCATTTAGTACTCTTCATATTTGTAATAGTCTTCCCTCAAATTTTTAATTTTTGTCTTATGTCTACAAAAAATAAGGGTATCCAAAGGATTTATGTTTTTTATCCTACCCAGTTTATCTTCACATTCCTTTTTTCCCCATGTACAAAAAATTCATAAACAGAGAAATTGGAAACATTTCAAAATATTATAATTTCCTTATTTTTATCCAAAGGTTCTATGAAAAGTAGTGTGACACCAACAACTCAGACAGAAGGGATTTAAATCAAGTTGATACATTATTATATTAATCATATTACATGTCTGAATCTTCATGTATCCACTACTCAGTTTTGTGTTAAAATATTATTTTGAAATAGTCTTAGTCTAACTTGTTTTAATTTAATTTCCTAACACTATGTTTTTCAATTTCTTTCAAGGACCTTATTTTAATGAAGACAAAGATTTGACAGAAGAATACAGTTTAAATAGATTGTTTCTTAATTTTTTGACAGATACAAGCACTACTTTAAAAAAATTTTTTTGTAGATGTATATGGACAGCATGCTTTTATTTTGTTTATTTTTATGTGGTGCTGAGGATCGAACCCAATGCCTCACACATGCAAGGCAAGTGCTCTGACACTGAGCTACAGCCTCAGCCCACAAGCACTATTTTAAGAAATGATATGTTACAAAAAGAGGTTGCTCACAAAAAGAACTTATTTCTAAAAAAAAAAAAAGTTAACTTGCTTGTGGTCTATGGATTTTGTCCAGAAAGTCAAGGAAGTTCCTTTTTTAAAAAAATTATGCCTGATTGCAAACAGTCTATTCATTGCATACCGCTTGTGAACTAGAATAACATAAGAGTTCTCATATCAGTAATTTAATTTCACACAGTCTTTTATCACTTAACTTGAATCCTTTCTCAAAGAAAATTAGAACCTACGATTTTATTGTATTTATTAGATAGGCAAACTACCTAAGTAGCATAAATCCTTTATTTTACCTATATTAAAAGAAACCCAGGGCTGTGGTTGTGGCTCAGCAGTAGAATTCTCACCTACCATGTGCATGGGATACTGGGTTTGATCCTCAGCACCACATTAAAAATAAAAAAATAAAGGTGGGGCTGGGGCTGTAGCTCAGTGGTAAAGTGCTTGCCTCGTATGTGTAAGGCACTGGGTTCGATCCCCAGCACCACATAAAAATAAAGATACTGTGTGTTCATCTACAACAAAATAAATATTTTTTAAAATAATAAAGGTAAAGTGTCCAATTATAACTAAAACAAAAAAAAATTAAAAAGAAATCATGCTTTATTTTTCAGAATTAAATATTCCAAGACAACATAAGTAGTCAATTGCTAATTTTGAAAAATAGTATTTTAGGGCAATGGTTAGAGAAATGCAGCCTTGTTGTAATCTTTTGTAGGATTGCTTCATTTTATAAATTATGGTAAAACAAACAAACCCTTTTGAACAGTTCGGTCTCTTATTAAGTTTGAAATACTCTGAGCTCTTCTTTTTCATATGGCATAGTTTTTCTCTTATGCCACTTGTTGTGGTCTGTTCTTTCTGGCTAGGATCTTTAAACTAATCACATGGAAGTCTTTAGTTTAATATCCTATCTACTTTCTCCCAGGAGATTTTGCTTCTTCACACAAATGCAGGAGCAAAGATTGAGTGTTAAAAAAAAAAAAAAAAAAAAAACAGCTACAAGCGAGGCCGTCCTGGGCCTCAAGCCAGCGCAGGGCATACTCCGATATGTGCTCCTGCAGACGCCTGCCACGTGCCTGATGAGAGGGACCAGGGAAATGGAGCCAGAGCTGCTGCAGAAGGCCACAAGAACGTGGAGGCCATGCAGAGCTACAGGCCTGAGTTGAGTCACCTGCTGGAGGGGCAGCAGGAGGTGCAGAGACAAGTCAAAGAGAGTGCATCACAGACAAGGGATGTCCTCAAACCACATTTTAATGATTTAAAGGGAAACTTTGGGAAGCTCCTCAATGAAGGATTGGTGACTCTTTTGCAAGAGGTGGACACCATTGAACAAAACACCATTAAGCTACTAGATGACTGCCAGAAGCTGACATGGAGTTAACACGGCGGAGGACTTAGTGTAAGAAGGTGAGATTGCCGTTCTTGGTGGTATAGAAGAGCAGAATGAGAAACTGGAGCTTCACCACAAAGGCCTCACACAGACAACTGGAGAACTTACAGAAGTGCCTTTACTGGTTGATGTGCCTTGTTTATCTGCTTAGTTGGATGATTCAATTCTTAACATATTAAAGATAACATTTTGAAGCATGGAACAGTAGCATCTCTCCCACCAGTGCAAATAGAAAAGCTAATAGAGAAACCTGAAGGCATCATAGAATGATGGCGTAAGGTGCATGACAATTTCGCAGACTAAGATTACAGGCTTCAGTTCTGAAAATGCTCTTCAAAACATTTTGAAGATATATATGTAGATTCTGAAACTGAATTCATAGTATTGCACATAGACCCCAAAGTTGATTATCAGTTCAGAGTCTGCACCTGAGAAGGTGTCCAACAAGAGTGGAGTCCATGGAGCATCCCCCAAATAGGTCATTCTACGTTGGTGCCTCATGAGCAGACAACTGGCTTTGAGGGATATCACCTGAGCAGTCGAAGAAATATAGCACTCTGGAATGATTCTGAATCCTCAGGTATACTCTACTCCAGCACTCCAACCTATATCTGTGGGCAGACATTAACATTCAGAGTTGAAACTGTGGGACAGCCAGACAGAAGAGATGGTATAGGAGTATGTGCAGAGAAGCAGAACATATATAACTCTGCAGCGAGATCAGGCTACATGCATTAGTATCAATGGTGCAGTTTTTGCAAATGCACAAGAAATGACTAATCAGTTGCCTGCAGTTGCCTCCTGATCCACTGTCACATTTGACATCAAAGATGTGACTCTGAGAATACTGATAATAATGAAGGCGAAAACTTCAAGCTCCGAACTATTAGCTCAAATTATAGACAAGTGGTTTTTGATTGGTTGCTTGATCAGTCTTGTGGTTCTCTTTACTTTGGATGCTCATTTTTTTTTTTTTTTTACTTTTTATCCTGGATGGAAACTATTCATGTGTTTTAAAGTTTTGGATGCTTGGCTTGGTTTACTGTCTCTGTCCTCAACACAGTTAGGTTGTTAACTATTTTCAAGTTGTTGCTATTGTTTTAAAGTTAAATTAATCTTTCAGGCAATGGGAAATGAAAAGTGTCTACTGGATTCACTTTGCAATATTTTAGCCAGAAGAGAGTTTGAATGGTGTGGACAAAACCATAATTCAGTGAATTTTGTTTTTAATCATACTATTAATAAAAATAGCAAATTACAATAAAATAAATCAGCTATAAATATCTGGGGAGATAACAAAGTCCTGTGCCCTACCACTGTACTTCTTAAAGTTGGTTAATGTAACATTTTATTAAATCTCTTTCAGCATCCAAGGCCATGTGAAACTTTAGAGTAGAACAGGAGCAGACCAGATAGAAGCCAAAGTTCTGTAATATTCATTCACTTGTTTTTTCCACATGAGTGCATTGACTGTGTACTGTATATTCAGGAATTTGAAAGCAGTGTTGGCTTTTATCCTATTTTCAATAATCATTAAGTCTAAAAAGCTTTATGATTTTTGCCTTTTTTTAACAGTGCCTGAGTAAGTGCCTATATAATGGGCAAGTATTATCTTTGTTCTTTCTTTGCAGTTTGATTCAAGATAGGATAGAAGATACAGGATGCAGTGGTTCACAGCTATTAATTCTAGCAAATCGAGAAGCTGAGGCAGAAGGATCACAAGTTTGAGGCCAGCCTTAGCAACTTAGTCAGACCCTGTTTCAAAATAAAAAGGGCTGGGAATGTGGCTCAGTTGTAGAGTGCCCTGGGTTCAATCCCTAGTACTGTTAAAAAAGACGATTTGTACAGGGTGAAGCTACTTATAAAAGTAGTAAATACAGCAGTGTTAGCCATTTCACAAGTATATGATATGCACATATGTGCCTCCAGGGTCAATGATATGCATATTACTATTTGTAGTTATGAGCTACAGTCCAGTTAATGTCAGTTTGATAAATGGTCTATTAGTGGACCAAAGAACTACAGGGTAAATACTTGACTGATTTTTTTTAAACTTAAATTTATGTAAGATATTTATTTGAAGGACTTAATATGAAAAAATAATAGCCATAATTTGATATACTAGCTTGTAGACTTTTTTAACATTTGAAAAGCAATTTTTTTCATTTTTACAGGTAGTAGAAAAATGGAAAAGCAAGCTTGATTATTTTTGTAAGATAATTTATTTCGGAGCTCTTGTTCCCTGTTAGATAATAATGACCAATTTTCTCCTTGCCTTTTTATGTATAAGTGCCTTTCATATGTTTAGTGACTATAAAGAGGTTCTAGAATATAGACACCTTGCCCAGCCATCTGAAACAAAATTAAAAACTCAAAAGTTAAAAAAAAAAAAAAAAAAAAGCTTTCATTGCTCTTTTCCGACAAGAAGGGTATCTTTTCTTGGTGATGCTTTCCTCCTGTTCTTTTCTAGGTCTGAATGTGCTTACAGAAGAATTGTCTATTAGTTTTAGGTAATTTATAACCCTTAGCAGCTTTAGAAAATTATTTTATTTGAAAACTACCATAGGTAAAAGGTTCATATTTCCAATTCAAACAAAATACGTTGATTCAAACTGGTTTGGTGGTGATTCTTATTCTACTAGACTGAGCCTACTATTTTTTTCTAATGGTGATTATCTTATATTTAATTTTCTTGAAAATGAAGTAAAATACCTTGTACTTCTTAACTAGTAACTGAGTTTTAGTAAGTATTTCCTGTCTTATTTGCATTTGTTCCCTATATTCTAACTTAATCATTTTAAAATTTGTTTTTCCTGTCTAGGCTCTTGAAAATCATTTACAACAAAAACATTCTGCAGAGCTTCAGTCATTGAAAGATGCACACCGAGAGTCAATGGAGGGCTTCCGGATAGAGATGGAACAGGAACTTCAGACTCTTCGGTTTGAATTAGAAGATGAAGGAAAGGCTATGCTTGGTATTTTGGAAGGATTATAATTTGTCATATTTATATTTATATTTTTCCATTTAAGATTCTTGTGAAGTAACACTTTTATTTTTAAATTTTGAAGCATCAAAATAATATCGAAATGCATAGCATATTTTATTTAAAAAGGCAAGTGAGGTAGAATAGAGTGGGTAGAATAGAAAGTTTACTCAGATTTCTCTATACTCTTGCTGAAAGCAGTACTCATTGATACTTGGGACTGAGTCAGGCATCTCAGAATTCAGTCACTGTCTAATGGACAGACCCATGGAACCATATATCTTTTAACTACATAGTCATATTGATTTTTCCACTTCAGGATTTTCTTTTAATGATTAGGTCTGCCTTTTTGTCAAGATATATTTTATATGGGGTTTAAATCTACAGAATGGGTCTTTTCATAGAAGTTTATTTTTAAAGAAAAACTATATATATATGTGTGTGTGTGTGTGTGTGTGTGTGTGTTTGCTTTGTTTTTTTTATGTTGTTTTTATTTGTTTGTTTATTTTTAGTGTCATTTGGCAATTTGTTATTCCGACCATCTGATTTTCTACTGTTTGGTTTTATTCTAAATTCTACTAATATTTTTATTGCATGTTTGTCACAGTTTAGTGCATATTATTTTCAAGTAGGAATTGGGAGCAAACAAGAACAAAGTGTTATAAATATTTGGGGCCTCAAAGGGAAAGCCATTTGACCCTCTTCTTCTCTATTGCTACTGGGAGTCTTTGGCCAAGTCATTACAGTTCTCTCTCCTTTCTACTTGAAAAGACACTGTAATAGCTAGCACTAAAAGCATATTAAGTATGAACATTTACTAAAGGTCTGTGAAGTACCTGAGTATATGCTAGAGATTTTGCTAAGCAAAGAGAACTAAAAAATGAACTCATGCTCTGAATTTGCACAGAGCTGATTGTCAAAAGCAGAGGTGGCCTTTATATAATTATGGCCAAAGGGAGTCTACATAGCCATATCACCGTGAATGTGCCCAATCTTGTCTTTTCTTGGAAGCCAAGCAGAATAGGGCATGGCTAGTACTTGAGTGGGATATTTCTGGCCAAAGGGGAATACACAGTTCCACAGCTATGTGAGGAGAGTTTTACAGGCCAGGTATTGTAACTATTAGTGTTTAACCCATTGAAACATTATTTAAATATCTTTTTAATGACAAGGTGTTTTGAGTTTTTCAAAAAATGTATTTATTTTAAGGTAATTATAAATTCACATGTAGTTTTAAGGAAGAATACGAAGAAATTCCTTGTACCCTTTATCCAGTTGCCCTGTGGTGACATATTATATGATATTTTATACTTATCATATAAAATATATTATATGATATTTTACATATATTATAGTAATATATGTAAAATATCATATTATAATAATGATATAACCACTATATTGACATTGATACTATCAAGATACAGAACATTTGCAGCACTATGAGAATTCTTCTTGTCTTTTTGTATCCTCACCTACTTCTCTCTCCTTCCTATCCGTAATTCCTGACAACCATTGATCTATTGTCCATTTCTATAATTTTGTCACTTTAAAAAACTACAGACCAATATCTCTAATGAACCTAGATGCAAAAATCCTCAATAAAATTCTGGCGAATCGGATACAAAAACATAT